TCATACTGCTCTTTAGAGGGGGGGTTTTACAAATGGTGGCTTCATTCTTTTTGAACTCACCGGACTTTTTTAAAAAATCATTACATGAAGTTGTTTTAGCCCCGGGGTTAACTGCTTGCTTTTTGGGGCCCGGTCTTGGTTTTTCTTCTGACATTTACGGGAGGCGAAATTGGCACAGGTTGGTGATGAAGGTTGCACCAAAAATGTGAACCCCCCATCTTGTAATCCACATTTCCCGAGAAAAGTGCCAGATTCCCCCCACAGAAAAGGGGAAGGTCAAAAATAATTTATTTAGGCACCCTTACTTGGTGAAAATTGCTTTCCACCAAACTGCCATAATGGCCCCCTCTTCTTGCCCCGAAAACTTTTTAATCATCCCAAAAAAGGGTAATTGTAAGATTTGGTCCTGGGGTAATAATTGGTTATTTAAAAAAGTACCTTTGTTTGGGTGCCCCCACAGTCAAAGGGACCAAATCTAAGTCTTGTTTCTTAGGTTTTAAAAATCCCGGGTGTGGCAGGTACCAAAAACCCTTTCCCTTTGTCAAGATTTAAGGGCCCTTTTTTCGGGAACCCTTTACTGTTAAAACCCTTTTTTTTATAATGTTTTCTCATGAAACCTTTTGGGATTTAGTGTTTGGGAAAGAAGGGTTTCTTCTCCAATTTCCGTTTAGGTTTTTAAGGGGACGTTTTCTCGCCACTTTTGGTTGTTGGGCATTTAATATGTTTTTTCCGTAATGGAAAAAGATCCGGGAATGTCCATCCACGATTTGGGAGCTGCTGTGTCGTAATCTCCCTAAAATTAAACCTCCCTTGACATTTCTTCTTTCTCGTTTCCTTTACAAAACCAGGAAAATTTACTTTTTTAAAATGTTGACTCCAGGGTTTATCCCCCCAAAGTGCTTATGATATGCGAATTTTGCTGAAACTTGAATCCCCCCTTGGGTTGCACTTTTGTGAAATTTGTTTCCCTTGGGGGGGGTTCGCCCGGTTTGGGCCAACCCCAAACCTCGTTCTCCCCGGCGTTTTGGACCCCATTTTTTACTTGCAAAACCTGCCAAGGTTCGGGTAGTTTAGGGGGCGTTTTTGCACCCCATCAGGGAAAACTAACCCTTTGCTTTAATTTTTAGGGGGATTGACAACCCGCTGAAGGGAGGGCCACCTGTTCACATAAACTTGTGAAGGGTTTTTATGGCAAAAAGAGGAATGTTTCTGTGGGCTGTTAAAAATTTTGGAAACTCAAAAAAAAAATTTTTCTGTTTAAAACTGCCCTTATTTCCAAAAAAGAAAAAAAATTTGGGGTTTGACGATGTTTTCTTCCCCCCCATTGGTTTTTTTGCAAAATGTTCGTTTTTCCCGCCTGAAAAGGGTTTAAATCCTTAATTTTGCTCTTCGCCAAAAAAAAAGCTGTACTGCCTGGAACCCGAAAAACATATGTTTTATGTCAAACCTTTTTTACCCCTTTTTTGATTTTACTTTGATGGAACTATCGCCAAAGTGTGTTTTTGGTTTCTCTTGTCCCCTAAATGGGGGGACTCAATTTCCCCCCAAATCCATTTCCCCAATGACTCTGTCGGTTGTTCCTCTGTATCCGTTCCCAAAAACAGGCCATGCTTGTTGTTAACCAATACCGGGGAAACCTTTTTTTTATGGTTTTGGGACTGTGGGGGTGATTATTGTGCACAAACCCGACAGTGGCCTTTTCTTTGCACCCAAATTTTTTCTTTTGTCCCCTTTTTTAAAGGGAGCTGAAACACCCAAACCTTTAGTTCGCAAGAAATCAATTTTTTTCCTTGTGGGAAGTGATTTCCTCATATTCTTGCATTGTTCCTGAGTGGTCCTCGCCAAAAGAAGAAGAGACAAGGCTTGGAAAAAAAGCACATTGGTTTATTTTTCCCTTGACCTTTTTCTTTTGGGTTGGGGGTGTATCCCGGGAAGTGGTAAAAGGGTTTCAGCTGTAGTGAAAACCTTTTTTATGCCCCTTTTTTTTTGCAACCCCTACCACTTGGGCCCTTTTTTTTGAAGCTTTAAAGGGGCTGTCCTTTTTAAAACACCAAACGGGGATGTTAAAAAATTTTTTTGGCCCGTTTTTTGACAAAATCCCCAGATCGGCAAAAATTGACTCTGCGTTTTTTTTTGTCCAAGATTCTACAAGCCTGTGGGTTTCCCTTTTTTCTCTCATTTTGTATGGGGGCTTGGCACTGATGGCAGCAGGGTTTGGGTGTGTTATCCAACTCCTCCATGTACTTAGTCTTTCCCTTGCATTTTGGGCAAACCCCTGAGATTTGAGTCCGAAAGGGATGGAAGAGCCTCTCCCTCGTCAGAAATTTTAAATTTTAGGCCATCCAAGAGCCTTTTTTAATATAAGCTACAGAAACTTTGTAGCTGTTTCCAAAATTTCTCTTTCAAAAATCTTTTTTGCTTCATTATATCCATGCTTTGGTTCCTTTTGGGAAAACAAATTTTATTTAAATTTGTGGCTTTTCCCCTTTGTTTTATGTTCCCCCTGGGGAAAGCCCCGGGGCTTTGTCGCCCTTTTTGTTTTATCCCCCCACCCCCCTGTTCAAATGCCGAATGACTGCCCAAATTTAAAGGGTCTCCTGGGAAAAAAAGGAAAAGTTTGAGGGGGGGAATGCTTTTGGCCCCAAATTTGTGCTTTGTTAGCAAATTCGATACATTTTTGCAGAGCATTGGGTAGCTGCGTGCTGAGAGGTTTTTAAAACATGTGGTTTTGATGCATGTTTTGAACAATGTTATTGTTCCTTTATTTTGTCTCCCCCTGCGTTGGCAAAGGGGACTATTTTACTGCCCGCTGAGCAAAAAAAACTTTCAGCTCCCGTGCGATGCCACGAAGGGGGTTCAATTTTCCCTTTGGTTTTTTGGGTGAAAAACCTGGGTATTTTGGGTGCCATGGAACCCCCCCATGCCTTAGATGCCCCGTCCATCATTTTTCTGACAGGATCTTTTATTTTTTGCCCATTTTTGCTAAGCTGTTTGTTTTTCTTGCTCCTCCTTTTCCGCCTTGGTTTAGCCCCTCCCTTTTTTTCCCGTAAGCGTTTTTTTTTTTTTCAAAAAAGATGCCCCGAAAACCCCAAAAGCTTAGCTCGGGTTTCCCAAATTGCTTTCATTCGGGGAGGGTCCCGAAAGATAACCCCACAAGAACCTTGTTTTAAAAAAAGCTCTTATGGGCTTGTTTTTTGACAAAAAATGTATTGATACACTATCGAATTTAAAATTTAATTTTCATCGTTGCCCTTTTTTGCCCCTGTGTGGCATTTAGCCATTTCCTCAACCAAATCAAAGCTGTCTCGCAAACGCCTTGAAAGGGAAACACCTTAGGTTCAAACCGTTTTCTTGATCTAATTTTAAATCTTTTCTGATTTCTTTTGGGAAAACTGGGTTCATTTGTGTTCAAACCCCAAAAATTTTCCAAACAGTTTTTAAAATCTTATTAACTGGTTTGCTTCAGTTAAGCTGGGTTTATCTTCATTTTCTATCAGCCGTGCACCCGATTTACTGTAAAGTTAACTTTTCCAACTTGGCTCTTGTAAAAACCCTTTTCACGCTTTTTCAAAATTTTCTTCCAAAGCTTTTTTGGTTTTGACTTTTATTGCTCTATCTTCCAAAAAATTTAAGCCACCCGTATCTTCCCCTTTTTAGCATTATTGGGGGGCTTAAATTTTCTAAATAAACAAAAAGCAGAAAAAATTCCTTTTGTTCATCCGGAAAAAACATGTGGGTCATTTTAGAAAAAGCGCTTAAAATTTCCCCTAAGGGCTCAGCATTTTCTTGTTAAATATTTCCACTAAATCACGTTTCTTCCAGATTTTTATTTTCCCTTTTTTGCTGCTTGGGAAAAACCCTTTTCCCCCGGGGAAAATTTAATTTCCCCAGAGGGGTTTTTCAACGAAAGTGATGCCAAAAAGGTTTAAATTTTGCTTTTATTTCACTCCCTGCGTTTTAGGAGGAAAAACAAAAAAAAAATTTTACAGCGCCGATGTAAAAAATGTTAAAAAAAAAAAGATTTTTTCCACAGTTTTTTGTGTTATCCCTTTCATGAGCAGTTCCCCCCAAAAAAAAACTTAAAAAAAAACCTCCAAACAAACTTCCCGGGTTTAAAAAAACCCCTGGTGGTTGGCGGAACCCCCGATTCCACTTTGCAGGGGCCCCCGGCCTTTTTTTTTCCCGCTCCCTTTTTTTCCCCTTAAAAGCCCCGGGGGGGCGCCTTCATTTGGGTTTTAAAATTTCCCAAAATGGCCAATAAAAATTTTAAGGCATACAAACTTAAAATAAAACACTTATTCACAAAACGTTATGAATTTAACTACATGCAATATAATAATGCTTCCTAAACCTCAACAAATTCACTTATTAAATTATTAATTAAACAAATACGTTTTTACAATAACTGAATATTTTCTACATTAACTTGGCCTCCACACTAGGTGAAAAGGTTGGATCATTTAGTCTAGACACATTTTGACAGTAGGGGTCTCCCTTTTCTTCCAAAATTGTAAGAGTATTTTATTTTATCTGTAATTAACATGTATTATGGGAATTTTTGTTTGGATACTGGGAGTGAATTAAACTTTTCTGACATGCCCAGCAACACCAACGTTGGAAGTCTCCAGCATCTCTGATATTAATTTAAATATCTGGACCCAGAATGGTGAAATCTTAGGGCAAAGGCAGTAGCTGTGAAGTAGAGACGCTTCATCTGTCATACATTTATCACACAACGGGGAGATTTCTAGCAATATCTAGGATTAAGATCTAAAGAGAAGCAACATCACTTGTGAGCTCTTGTTTTGTCAGTTGTTTGCACCTTTCCTTGTCATTGATCAAGCCTTCTGATTGCTGTAATTTATTTCTGTTTTCTTCCTTGTCCTGTTTCCTCTTGAGTTATCCAAGTCTTTTCCCATCGTATTCTCTTGATAAAGGGTTATATCCTTCTAACGACCAGACAGATTAAACTTAATTATATCTTTTTGTTTTCATTGCAGTTGTTAGACGGATGAAAATGAGGACAAGAGACGACGTCAAACTGATCAACCAGGGCTTGGAGGATGAGATGGTAATAACATCTTTCTATTTGTGCCTTTACTTCTAGTTAAGAAAATATTCCATGTTTTTTACCTTTGAGGCTTAAATTAGAGTTGGACAGTTAAACGTTCCTTAAATGAAGCTTACATCCTTCAGCTTTAGCTTTTCCTCACATGATTTAGCTAACGTGATTTAGCCCATGCTATGTGGTTCCACTGCTGGAGCGAACCTAAATTTTATGGTCACTAGTCTGATTACCAGTGTTGTGGTCAAGACCACCTAACCCGAGACCAAGACAAGATCGAGACTTTCAGGGTCTGAGACCGAGTCAAGACCAAGACCAGCGCCAGTATGTGACAATAAAATGTAAAACATGATCAAAATCACTAAAATTGATGTAAAAGACCCACATTCACATAAAAACACCTAGATATTTAACACACAGAACTGGAATAAACAAAAACATCTTTATTTAGTACTTCTGTGTAGTAATCGCAGAATTTCTAACAATTAATCAAAGTCGATCAAAATAGTATTTTCTCTGCCTTTCATGAACAGTACAAACATTTATGTTGTTTTTAAATGTGCTATTTCAAAACAATGTGCAAATGTGTAAAACTGAAAAAATGCCAATAATTTCTCTTGTTTCTCTCTCATATACAGATTAAAGCTATACTATATAACTTTTCTTAAATAAATCTATATCTGTCACCAAGTTGTGAAAATATATTGAGACAGATAATTTGTTTAAAAAAAATAATTGATCTCCTTCACTTCCTCCCTGAGCTACTGACATCTGCAGAAATACAAACCCCACTGAAATACAAAGAGCACAGAAGCCTGACTGTCAGTTCTAAGACCCTGTTGCTGAATCAGATGGTTTGTTTTTGACCAAGCGGTGTATTTCTCTAGTTAGCACTGGGAACATGGAGAAAAGGCAGAAGTGCTAAATATTTTCACAGCTTGTCAGTCTCATAACATACTGTCACAACATGTCGATAAAAGTTGGACGTAGTCCCTACCGTCTCTGATAGTGAAGCACTGCAGAACTTACATTGTGCTGTATGCTTTTTTCTCAATGTTGCTTTACAAATATATTCTTTGTGATTTAAATAGCCGAATTTTATAACCGATGATTTGGACAACATCTTATCCCGTTCTCAGACAACCACTTGTGACCAAGCATCCAATAAAAAGAAGGATCTTAAAGAAACTGATAATATTCTGATGATTAGCGTTATTTCCACAGTTGTGGTCTTGACCGGTCTTGAAATAAAATGTCGAGTCCTCAGCGCCCGAGACCGAGACAAGACCGATCTCGAGTACTACAACACTGCTGATTACTGCCGGAGGTAGACCAATACAGGAGCAGATCGATATTTTGGGCAGATATTAGTGTTTTTTTCTTGCATTGGATCATTTATGTGTCCTTTGATTCATTAGTGCATCGCTGCCCCCTCTATTTACCATCTATTGTTAAAAGAGAACTTGGTCAGCAAGGAATGATCAATGAATCATTATTTATACCTAAAACTTTTACGGTGATTTAATGAATTAAGCGTTAGTCAAAGTCTGGGAGCGGCCATTTTTGTCCAAATATAGTAGCCCCTCCCTCCTGCCATCTTCCAGCAGTGACGTCACGGTGCGGTAAGCCTAGCGCCATTCTCCCCGCTTTCCAAGCTAAATCAATGGGAACTACTAGACACATCTGCAATCAACAACAATTATTGAAGATTTCCAGAGGACTTCACCATTGAAATTCACCAGAGCTATAGTGAAACTGACAATGCCCACGTGCATGGCAGCTGGATGCTGGAATACATCGGGGAAAAGTGAAAAAAAGACTTATTCAACCTTTCTGATTCCTGATCCTCCACGGACGGGTTGGTCGTTGGATTGATTTAACTTTTTTGGAACATCTCCTATTTACAGTCAGCTGACTGACATGTTTTCTGGCCTGTCCGGCTTTGTAATTCACAGATCTCTTCACATGCTCACAACACGTACTTCTTCTTAGCCTATTAACAATAAGTGGCATCAAAAGAACATGGTGCAAGGATGCCTTCTTCACCAGACATTCCGCAAACAACGAAATATCACTAATATAACCAAACATAAGTTCCTGTTCATCCATGTTATGGATGCCGCCGTTTCTGTTTGCGTAATTCCCGGCCTGAGAGCTGTAGTATTGCGGACCGCAGATAGGAGGCGAACTGTGCTACTGTGATGTGTAAATGGGCATAAGAACCAAGCTTGTCACGTACGCTGGTGAAGATTCTCAGTCATCCAGGTCAGAGTCATTCTAAAAAAGTTAGAAAACAATCCACCGGACTTTGTTTCCAAGTTTGAAGACGTTTCTCTTCCATCCAGGAAGCTTTTTCAATTCAATTGTAACTTTTAAACTTTTTTTTGATCCAAGCTTGGTCTGAACTCGGCATGGATCGATTACAGAGGACTAGTGGAAATGGGGCATTAGTTGTCGGGTTATGGCAACCAAAGCAGGCTTAAATTGGAGGAGACTGGACTTTCGCTAAAGCAATCTGTAGTTGGAGCACTGATGTTTCAAGCGAGATGGAGGTCCATCCTCTCAAGCACATTCCAAGTCGGGTACAAATCAAAGACCCACCTTTAATTCTCCTAGCCTGGTGAGACCATCCTGATCTCGCGAGCTTTCAAGGTTTCACTCACAGATCAGTCTGGAGACTCTCCGTTGAAGAAAATTTGGAGCCGTTCACCAAACGAACGTCCAATCAGCGTTGGCTTTGAGGCGGGTTGAGGTGTGACGCAACGAGAAGCGCGACAGTTCAGTCTAAAGAACATGGCGGCTTCAGCCGATGAAACTAGCGTTAGCGTGGCTATCGAGCAGGTTTTATCGGAATTACAGAGTATTTCTTCACTGAAAGAAGAGCAAAACACTGCTCTGGAGGCTTTTCTCAGAGGAAAAGATGTTTTTGCTCTTCTCCCGACTGGTTTCGGCAAGAGTTTGATCTATCAATTGGCTCCTCTTCGTCGTCGCTCTCTTAGTACGTCATATGCTTCGTTGATCTGATTGGTTTATTTGGCCCGTCTATCACCAACATAGGCCAATCAGCTAACCAGTATTTTCGCCCCTTCCCAAAATTACTTCAACGGAAGGTTTCCAGATGAATATGCGGAGCAAAACCATCTGGCGGAGTCAGGTTATCATTCTCCTGGGTTGATGAAGTATTTTGGTGTTTAAGGGTTGTGTGTTTGGTCAGTCCAAACACATGATCTTTTTTGATGGTCAATTCAAATGGAGTCTTCTGTGTATTTGGGCTTTAAGTGTTTTAACAGAAACATGTGGCTATGCAGGAGGTCCGTGGGTACCGACCCTGTCTGTGGAAGATGCTCCTGGTTGGCGTGGGCGCTGTTTGCTCTGGTGGTCTCCTCCTGCTGCTGCTCTACTGGCTTCCAGAGTGGGGCGTCAAGGGAACGTGCACTCGCACGTCTGTGAGGGACGCGCACACCCTGCTCCTCAGAACCAAGGTACAAAAATAACACATCTTATGCAATGAAGTTCTGGTGATCTGTGGTTTTTACTTCTGAGACTTTTAAACACCCAGAATAGAAGTTGGGTCTCATTGATTTCATGCTGAAAATAACTGTTCAGAAATGTCCTGTTTTTTGGTGGATCTCCAAGGATGAGTTCAGGCAGTGGTTTCGAGTCAGAGTCCACAGAATGTTGGCTCCTGGGAGGAAACCCTTTGGCGATCTGGATGTGAAACCCCAAACTCCAAACGGAGACTTCGTCCATCAGATCTGCTCTGTTTCTGAGGAACATCCTCCTGATGGACAACAGCTTCAGGTAGGTTTGGTGTTCTCACTTAAATCGATTCATTATTAACTCTGAGGTCTGACTTTGGGTTTTAAATGGGGAAATGTTTTCCCACCGATTTGCTTTATTTTCTCCTCATAGATCCGATACTTCACACACCACAGCTTCAGATACTACTGGAATGATGTTATCCAGAACTTTGAATTATATCAGTAAGTACTCAGCAGTACTGTAGCCTCGTGAGACCATCCTGATCTCGTGAGCTTTCAAGGTTTCACTCGCAGATCAGTCTGGAGACTCTCCGTTGAAGAAAATTTGGAGCCGTTCACCAAACGAACGTCCAATCAGCGTTGGCTTTCAGGCGGGTTGAGGCGTGACGCAACGAGAAGCGCGACAGTTCAGTCTAAAGAACATGACGGCTTCAGCCGATGAAACTAGCGTTAGCGTGGCTATCGAGCAAGTTTTATGGGAATTACAGAGTATTTCTTCGCTGAAAGAAGAGCAAAACACTGCTCTGGAGGCTTTTCTCAGAGGAAAAGATGTTTTTGCTCTTCTCCCGACTGGTTTCGGCAAGAGTAGCCTGGCTTATGGTTGTGTTTTCGTCGTCGCTCTGTTAGTACGTCATATGCTTCGTTGATCTGATTGGTTTATTTGGCCCGTCTATCACCAACATAGGCCAATCAGCTAACCAGTATTTTCGCCCCTTCCCAAAATTACTTCAACGGAAGGTTTCCAGATGGATATGCGGAGCAATACTCTGCCTAATACTCTGCCGTACTTGCCAATCCAACAAACTTGGTCTTAGTTTTAAAGGTATACTATGCAACCGGTGTTGATTTTCCAGCGAGGCTCCCCCCAGAGGACGAAAGTAAAAGTGCACTGTCGTAAATATGCTCAGCTGTTCTCCTGGTTTCTCCGTCAAGCCAGGCGCGGTTGTTTTGAGCTTAGCAGACAGGCGAACGCAACGAATCACCATGTCTACCGCGGTAAGTGACTATTTTGTTCCAATATTCGAGTTTGAAAATTTAGCATGTTAACTAACCATGATAACTGCACAAATATGGCCACTGCGCTAGCAACGAGCATGCCTTTCACTGGGGGCGTGTAGCAGTTCTCGCCGTAAAGCAAGACAGACTCTCTTCTGAGCCTGTGGGTGCGGGCCGAGGGCTCCTGCAATTGCAAGTGCGGTATTTCCCCCACAGACCACCAGGGCGGCCGAGAAAACCTTTGTTCGACCTGAAATGACTCATTTAATCATCCAAAACGTTATGGAACACATTAATTAACTGAAAAATGTTGCATAGTGTGCCTTTAAACCCAGAGTTTGGTTCAGACTAGGTCATTCTCTGAGTCCTCATTCCAACAGTTTTAAGCAGCGGATGTAAATAGTGTGTATCCTGCAAATTAAGGCCTATTGTTTAGAAGTGGGGACTGTATTTTGCCTTTAACCTTTGTGATTAAACATGTGCCTAAATGGTTAGAAGATTAAACTGTCTCCTTCTCTAGAGGCCTGGAGGATGTGAAGGTGAGCTGTGCCCACATCCACTCTGAACACAGCTGTGGTCTCACCAAAACACTGCAGGATTACAGGTACCACTTTGCATTTTAGGTTTTTTTTGCTTTGTTGATCCTGAGAATATCTGTTCATGCAATTATTTTTAAGACAAGTAAAAAAGAGGCTTTTAAATTCCATTTAGGAGGTTGTTTTTTGGGGAGAATGAGATCGCTGTGAGAGTCCCGGCTCTGTTCAAGCTTCTCATAAAGGAGGTGAGTGTGACACCCAACATCCCATAGTTCTCTCCCCACCACACTCCCATTGTACCTCAGGTTGCTCCAGAGCCATAAATCTATAGAGTGAATTATGCTCCATTATTATTGCAAGCAAAAAACATGTTTTGTAAATTGAAATTTTAAAAAATTGCCTTTCAGAAATGATAAGTTTTCTAAATGAATTTTCTTTTTACAAATTGTTTCACCTCTTGGTTTGGCTTTCAGGAAAAATGTTCTTGAATAAGGGTGAGCCTATTAGGCTTGAAGCAAAGATAGTGTCTGTGTCTGAACGTCCACAATGACCCCTACATCCTCCATCACTATATAGCGTGGGGACTATGTTGTGAACTTTATAGTGAACTCAGTTAACTCACCGTTCAGACAGATGATCACTTCTTTCCGCTCCCTGTTGGCAGTGGGGGGGGGTTTACCATTAGGCAACACTAGGCAGTCGCCTTGGGCCCTAAATTCCTGGGGGTCCCATGAAACCGTTTTTACCTGAATGGGTAATGCAACTATTCCTTATTTGTGCAAAATAATTACGATTTCTGGCTAAAATGCCATCAGAACGCTGATAATATTCAGTGTGTCTCAGCCCCCCCCCCTTCAGTGTCCACCATATTGGATCAGTCCATTTGCTGCACATGTTCAGAAAGGTCCAAACAGACAGCAGCAAACCATTTGAAAACAAACCATGCAAAGAGCAGTGTTGCCAACTTAGCGCTTTAGTCGCTATATTTAGCCACTTTTCAGACCCCTCTAGCACTTTGATTTCTAAAAAGCTCCTAGCGCCAAATCTAGAGACTTTTTTTCTGCTACTGTTCTTTTCTTTCTTTTTTCTGTCTTAATGTTGGCAGTGGGCTTTAGGCTGCCCTGCAAGGCTTTAAACCTGGGTTTAACCGGAGACTAAGCCATTCTCAAGCACATATCAAGGTGCTCATTTTGAGCCTGGATCCAGATTTATTGTTGATTCTGTTCATGGTGGAGAATCCTGCTTCACAGCAGCAGGTTGAGCCAAACATCCTCTAAATGTGCAGGGTCATCTTTGAGCACGCCATTTCACTTTTCTTTCACCAGTTCACCGCAGTTCTTCCAGCAGTCCACACTTTCTCTGCTCTCTTTTTCTCATGGTCTTCTCCTTCTTTCCCATCGCCCGGCTTGCCACAGGTTTGCCTGCTGTGTCTAAAAGTAGCAGCAGCAGCAACCCAGACTGACAGCTCATTGGCTCATTTGGATCACGTGCAGCCTGGAGCCGGACGCTCCCCAGGGCTTTACCGTATTAACAGGAGAAGAGGCGCAAGTGAAATTACACACAGTCGTTGGACAAAATGCAGTAATTTATAAATGTTTTAAATCAGGTTGGGTCCAGATTAGCCAGCAGGTGGGTCCAGATCCGGACCGCGGTCCGATAATCCGTGACATCTGGTTTAAATACTCGTACTGATTATTGTTGTTGCGTATTTCCTGCGGATGCTGCGATTATCCTATAGCAATAATCAGATGCAGTAATCTCTTTTAAATCTGAGGACGGTGCCATAAAAGCAGCATTTTAATAAATATTCAGTAAATCGATAAAATGATGCCTGGGTCCTTTAGATGGCAATATAAGACATGCGTTTATACTAGGGATGCACGATTATAATCGGCCCCCTATCGGTATCGGCCTTAAAACTGAATATCGAACATCGGCCACCCCACCGATATTTAACCCGATATTTGATCAGCTTCTGAGTTTCTTAAGTCTAAAAAAAAAATAAAAAATACTACTTCTTCTTCTTCCTCAAAAACTTCTTTTTTACAGACTTAAAAACTTCTAAAGACGAGGGAAAACATATTGATCCATTAAAATATCCCAATATCTTCATATGCTGATATATTGCCATTTAAAAACACCATATCAATCTCTTTTACTAATGAAATATTGCTATATGTCATCGTTATGCTACGAAATCCCCCGAAAATTCACCAAATGTTGCCATATTTTTATATGTTGATATATTGACGCGGTATCAATCTATTTTACTAACAAAATCTCACAAGAATTTGCAAAATATCACGAGAGTTTGTAACAGAACGATGAAATTTTACGAGAAAAAGTAAAATAGATCGATACCGCGTTTTTAAAAATCTATTTGATATCAGCATATGAAAATATATTTGAGTATATTATTTTTCAAAGTGTCAGAAATGGATAACAAAACTGCTATTTTCAATGACTACTTATTTTTGTCCAGCTTTAACATCGGTATCGATATCAGTTATCGGCTACATGAGTTTTAAAATATCGGCATATCGGATACCGGCCAAAATCCCAATATCGTGCATCCGAGTTTATACGGTTTATTAGCAAAACCATTGATGGAGTTTTCTTCTTTGTTTCCCTCCAGGTTCTGAATCCCTTTTACATCTTCCAACTGTTCAGTGTTGTTCTTTGGACTGCTGAGGACTACTACTACTACGCTACAGCCATAGTTTTAATGTCGGTCATATCAATAGCTACCTCTCTGTATACCATAAGAAAGGTGAGCCATCTATAGACTGACCTGAAAAGGTTTGAATTAAACAGTTTTTCTACACAAAGTTGGAGGATATCCTGATGGATATCTTTTATGTCCCTAAGCATATAATAAATCTTCCCTCTTCTCTAAAGCAGCAGCTCTTATTATTTTTTGCAGCAATATGTGATGCTCCATGCCATGGTTTCCGCCCACAGCGTGGTCCGTGTGTCTGTCTGCAGAGGAAATAAAGGCATGTTTCAGCTTTCGCTGCTCATCACTGCAGATGGACCCTCTGCTGAACTTTCCGTTCCCTTCATTGCTTGCTATGTTAATCTCAGATATTGAACAGGCCATGTCGACGGAGCTTGTCCCCGGTGATGTCATCTCCATCCCAGCCAATGGAATGGTGATGCCCTGCGACGCCGTGCTCTTCCAAGGAACCTGCGTTGTGAACGAGAGCATGCTGACAGGTGCTGTAAATCCTCTAAAACTCAGGACTTCTTTCCTGGAGCCGGCTGGGTAGAGCGCCCCCCCCCCCCCCCCTCTGTTTTCAAAGTAAAAACTTCCTCGATCAACAGCTTTTAGAGAAATTACCTCTGGGATGTGTTAAGATGCTGCATGGACTCATTTTTTTATGGAGATTTTTACTTAGCATTAAATTCCCTTTAAACTAGAGCTATATGCCCCATTTACACCAGCCTTTTGGAACCGTGTCGAGCACGGTAACCGAGACAACTGTTGAGAGTAAATGGAACATGCTGGTGAAGATTCTCAGTCATCCAGGTCATAGTGAGTCCAAAAAAGTTAAAAAACAATCCAATGGACTCTGTTTCCAAATTTGAAGATGGTTCGCTTCCCATCCAGGAAGCTTTTTCAATTCAAAATATCAGAAATAGTGTTGAGTTCCAAAATTTATAGAGTGGATCAAAACAAGAAAGGAAGCCATTTATATTGAGAGAGAAAAAACACCCTTAAAGTCATAGGGAAGTTATACTTAAATGTCAAATCATTCTGGCTTAAACATGTACCGTATTTTCACGACCATAAGGCGCACCGGACTAAAAGGCGCACTCTCAGTTATGTGTCCCATTTCTGTATTTAACACACACATAAGGCGCACCGGACTATAGGGCGCGTTTTTTATATACAGGTACAAGTCCTCTACTACCTTTAAATACCTCTACTGCGTATTTAAAAATACAGCGGGGGCAAAACTGAGTATGACTGTGCTTTATTCATGTATTTATTACAAAGTATTAATCAAACCTGGCAGCTGGCCGTGAGACAGAGACATCGCAGATGACGCAGCGCTGTGATCACTCCTAAATTAACTTAAAATCCTGAAACCTGCTGACGGAATATGTTCGCTTTTATTGCCGGTATCCTGGTGCCTGCAGCTAAAATTATTTAGATGAAAAACACCTGCCAGCAGCCGCGGTGAACCCCAGGCTGCCCAGCCTAGAGGCTGCTGATGAAGAGATTTCTGCTGTCAGCGCACCGCTGGTATGTGGGGGTCTGAGCGCCTCCGACAGAAATAGATAATCTGGATGAACTGACTGCAATTATTAAGTTTTCAGGTGGACTTTCTCAATTAAAAACATATTAAAACTACTTTATTCCCACTGATCACAGCAAATATAGCTGCAAGATTTAGATTATTTAGATGAAAAAACACCTGCCAGCCACCGCGATGAAGAGGAGGAGACGCGCCGGGGATGCTGTTGAATTAAGTTTTCAGGGAGAAAAATACAGCGGGAGCAAAACTGAGTATGATTGTGCTTTATTCATGTATTTATTACAAAGTATTAATCAAACCCATCAAAGTCATCATCCTCTGTTTCTGAATAAAACAGCTGCGCTAAATCAGACATGCCAGTTTCCCCTTCTTCGCTGTCAGAGTCACTTTCCGTGCAGCGCGGCTCCTGATAAATAATGCCGGCTTTTGCGAAAGCTTGAACAACAGAGCCAGCAGACACGTTAGTCCAAGCATCTACAATCCATCCGCAAACTGTGGCGTAATCTGCCCGGCGCTGCCTTCTTATCCTGAAACTGTGGTCTCTGTCTGTCATCCATCGCTCCCACGCCGCTTGCAGCCTTACTTTGAACGGCTGCTTCACACCGATGTCGAGCGGTTGAAGCTCCGTTGTCAGACCCCCGGGATAACGGCGAGCACAGCGTTCATTTGATTCACCTTTTTTTCACATCGGCTGTGAGATGGGCACGCAGCGATGGTGATGCGTGGAAAAAACCACCTAGTCTTCTCACATACACCTGCCTCAGCCACGCATCCATCCAGCCTTTTCCATTTGCGTTAATATCATATGTCATCAGAGCGCTGTCTGTCTCGCTGTCAGCTCCCAGATCAGCTTCTCTGATTGGTTGATGCGGCGCGTCCAGCAGCAAAACTTCCATTTTTCCATCTCGAGCAGCAGAAGCGCGGCGCTTCAGATGCTTAAACGCTCCCGACCTGCTGCACCAAAATGCGCTGCGGGACCTTTTGCTGCACCTATATGCCCGTCAACCATTGACTTTGCATGTAAACTCGCTGCTTCTGCTGCACCTGCTGCGTCCGGTTCACACCGATGTCGAGCGGTTGAACAGCGAGCACAGCGTTAATTTGTTTCCCCATGTTTTTCACATCAGCTGTGAGATGGGCACGCATGGAGTTACATATTAACAGCGATGGTGAGGGGTGGAAAAAAAACACCTGGTCTCCTTACATTCAGCCACTCTTTCATCATCTCCTCAATGAGGTGGTCTCAAAAGTCGCAGTTACAACACACATAAGGCGCACCGCACCATAGGGCGCACCGCACATTTTGAGGAAAAAAAAAGACGTTTAAGTGCGCCTTATAGTCGTGAAAATACGGTATATAAATGTTCTCTATTGTCCCAAAAGTTAGAAAATATTCTATTTAAAAAAATCCTTTCTTAAAATCTGTGTTTTTTCCGTTATCTTCTGCAGGCCAGTTAGTTCTACATCAGCCTGAACACCTACATTCGGCCAATCATATATCAACGGTCTTCTGTCAATCAAATGTTTTCAGTCATAGCATCTTGATTCATGTGTCGCAGCTAATATACGCAACGGTTGAAATCAGAATCCTTTACTTTCCCATTGAGTTGCGTCCCAGTGTTCACGGGGATGGACGTCTGTGTCTTCGGCAGGCGTAGAGCTCACAGAACTGGCAGCGTTGCGAGGCAAGGGCTCAAACATGTACGGCTGGAAGCCTTCTACACCAAACCAAGCTTCTGCCGCCCTGGCGTCCTCTTCCACAACGTCTTCATCCCCGCTTTCCTCCTCTAAATAAAAAATGGATGACGGAGGAGACTCATCCACGACCTCCGACACTAAACTCTCCTCCTCTTGCATGTTTCCGCTGTCCATAGCGTTCTTTGATAGCGTCGTTTCTAAGTCACCAATTTAGTGCTACTTGGTCCCAATGGAATTTCCCATTGGGAACCTGCTAGCACTAAGTTGCTAACTGGTTAGCAAGATGCTTCCGACAAACCGGCCACAACCAAACTTGCTTAGGAACCTTCCGCCACAACAGTCCCGCCCCCTTGGTAAACGACCAAACACATTCACTGTATTCACTGGTGTAAAGTCGGGCACCACTGGGAGAATTCGGAAATGCGACGGTTGGAACAGCCGCTTCCCTACGACTTTAAACAGAGGGGGTGGACTCAGGTTTCAGCTTTCAAAAACCTACAATGCAGCGATAGAGTTGACTCCTTCCCTCTATCATCTCATCCCCCAGACCCATGCAGGGGACCAAAACATCTCGCCGGGTCAGCCAGGCCAACAGTGCCCCTAACGACCCCCCTTTCAGGGACATAGACCAGTATGGGTCAACCAAACCGCACTAAATCTAGTACTAGTTCAACAGTAGGGCTTGGCACGGTTCATCTGTGGCTCACTTCTCTGATAACAAAGAGCAAATAAGCTTCAGCTGACTCATTTCAAGGGTTTTCCGGTATGTCCGGCTTTGCAATTCACAGATCTCTTCACCTGTTTACAACACAAAATTCAGCTTATTAACAACAAATGGCATCAAAAGAGCTTTGTTTGCGTAATTCCCACCTTGAGAGCTGTAGTACTGTGGGCTGCCGATAGGAGATGAGGAACGATGCTAGCGTGATATGTAAATAGTCGTAAAAACCAAGCTTGGCGGGGGGCGCTGCTGAGCTTTAATGGAGTAGGACGTGAGTTTGGAGGCTCCTGCCGATTTTGATTTAAATTCTAATTCACTTGCGCTTTTTACTCACATATTTTGTCCTGGCTTGCTCTGCACTACTTTTTTATTGGGAATTCCTACTCTGGACTGTGCAAGATGTCTGGAAAGAACTCTAAAAGTCGTAACACTATTCAGACACAATTAAGGCCGGGTCTACAAGCCGCGACCGCGGCCTCGGGTGAGCCGTCCGCTTTTGCAGAGGTCGCCTCGACGCATGCTAACTTTGACACCACTGCCCTCAAACTCGTGTTGCTGGCTGCGCTGAGGAAAGATATCGCAGATATTTTTAAAAAGGAGCTGCAGGCTACTCTCGGGGATGCTTTGTCTACTATCAAACTCGACCTGCAAGCGGTCAAGACACAGCTGGCGAGTGATAAAGCTGCTACCGATGCTACCATGTCCAAGCTAAAAGATACGGTCGGAGAGATGGAGCATGCACTCACTGAGTGCTCCGATGACATCGCCGAGATGAAAACTACAATCAAGTCCCTCACAGCCGACGTGGCCAAGCTGGAAAATAAATGTGAAGACCTGGAGTCCAGAGCTCGGCGAAACAACATCAGGATAGTGGGAGTACCGGAGGGTCCCGACACCTGTTCCACTACTGCTGTATCCGCCTTACTGAAGGAGGCGTTCGGTTTGGTAAAGGAGCCGCTTGTGGATCGGTCCCACCGGACCCTCCAACCCAAACCCAAACCCGGTGATCGTCCACGAGCCATTGTGTGCAGACTTCACTATTACGGTGACTGTGTGGACATTTTGCGCCGCGCCAGAGAGCTCCGGCAGATTAAGGTCGGAGACTTGACCATCTCAGTCTTTCCTGATCACACCGCCAAGATAGCCCGGGCTCGGGCTGCATTCAACGAGGTCAGACGCCAACTTCGGGGCATTGACGGTGCTCGATACGGTCTGTTTCACCCAGCTCGTCTTCGCATCACATACAACGGTGTTGAGAAGGACTTCGTTTCAGCAGAGAAAGCCAGCGACTATGTCAAATCCTTGATTTCTGAGTGAGCTATGATACGTTTTCTGATCTGTGTTCTTTTATTCCTCGAAGTTTGTGCTAACTAACCTTATTTCTCTACCTGTGCAGTATTTGGTGGTCTTTTGCTTGGATGCACTGAATAGGTTAGTTTATTGTTATATTACGTGTTCATACCATATTTGATAATTTTGTAACTGAGATCAGATCAGCACTACCTTATTTTATGCTTTCTGCAACTATCTGGACC